TGATGTATGCATTCAGCATAATTATTTTGTATAACTATAATTCTATAGCTTATGCACAATTATACCTATGGGAGATCTTTGTAATTTTGTTGCATGCATCTATCTACATGTATACCAGTGTCATGTCTCTTTTGTTCCTTAGACCAATTTGAAGTGTCACTGTGGGCTGCCCTGCTACGCAATTGAATTGTTACTTTATATGAAGTTTGTCAAGACTGACTCATTATATACAATTTCATTTTCTATTTGTTAAAGGGCACTTTTTGGTGAATGCTACATGCATGTACAATGTAGTCTGTAATGGTATATAACCCATAGTTTGAAGTATAAATACATACATCTATACCATTTATTTTGGTGCTATGCAGTGTGCAGATATTTAACACACACACAACATGAATTAAGTGCTGTTTAACATCCTGGTTGTTATTATACTTGAACTAGCCTGGTATATACCAATGTGTTTAGTTTCATTTTTGGGGAAGGTTTTGCAATATGTCATATTTTTTTAAATGGTGTGACCATAGCCTGGTTATATACTCAACAACCATTACACTGTTGATTACCCACTCTTCCAATGTCTCATTTGTTACTTGCTTTCTACTAAAATCCGGACTTGCTGTTAATATTTGCTCATTCATCGAGTCAATGTATTGTGGCAAGAATGAAGTGGTTGAACTCTTCTTGATGTAGCAACTAATTATTATGTCACGTGGGGAAAACAGATGTACATTGTAACTGTCAAGTGAAACCAGCGAAACGGTAGTAAAAAACATATATTGCAATTATATACATAATATGTACAATAAATAATAGTAATTTATGTGATCATGGGCTGGAGGTAGACTAGAACATGTAAGGAAACCTGTCAGGACTGTTATTACTACTATAAAGGTAGGTCAATAGAATTGTGGTCACTGAAAAATAGCATCTATGCCATAATTTAGCCCATTACTTAACACCTTTCTTTACAATGTAGCTACATGTACAGTATAATTCCACTGACAGTCTGTCATTCATGGGAAATTGTCAGTCATAATTACGGTAACCAGCTTCCCACTGTCAATAAATTATACTGTGAATAGATGTGCATGCTATCTGTGATCAATATATTCTTGAGATACACAAAATAATTTTAGTCTGATCCATTATTTCAAAGGCATACACCTTTAATTCTTTCTGTAATATTTGCTAAGTGAGATTGAGAATTTTCGTATACATGTTTCTGTTGAAGTCTCAAGGTCATCTTCTTGTATTCTATATTATGGAGTTACTATTACATGATTATAGAAAATGCATGTTAGTTTGTTAAAGTCTGAATTTCTTATAATTTCACTCATGTATTCAATGTCCTAGAACTGAACAGACAAAATGCTTTACTACATGTATACAATGTACCGTAGATGCGCTTGTCCTTATTTGTTATTATATTATAGCATTGTCAATACCAGCAAATTTTATTGCCACATCGCGATAATGTATTGCATTATTGAGCATCAAGGCCCCGTACCATGCATAGGAATAAAATGTTGAGTTCGGAAAACAAATAAAGAGACAAGCATTTACTAATAAGGGAAATTATGGGGTGAAAACGATTAAAATCAAATCTGAAAATGAATAACTCTGAGCTATATGAAAAATAATTATTTGTTGTTAGTTTACATGAAAAATGTCATTCCCGGCAGAACAATAAACGCAAATCATTGTCTGGCCATTCCCAACTTCACGAGAAACACCCGGTACCGACGTCCAACACTTAAATAAACGTAGCTCACCAAAGGCAAACACGATGGCCTGTTTTATCGATGTCGATGAATCCCAGTTAAATGTGCTGGAAAATGCAAGAAATGAAAAAAATACTTTACAGCAGACTAAATGGGGGTACGTGTTCCCGGTACGTGTTACACCACCAATTTTGAAGACCTTCCTGTCGTTGAGCTGACTTGCTGCGGGAATTTTACACTTCAGCTCGCAAGCAAGATGGGATGCAGTACAGCTAGTCGTCGCTGTCTGGTTTACAAGCTTCAACCCATCTATGCATCACTGGTCCTCTCGCAAAATTAACATCATGTAGGATAGGGAGTTCCAATATTGTCTATTTTTTGACTCTCATGTGCGAAGCACAAAATGGGAGTCTTTGCAGTTAGTGTGTCTGTATGTATGTGTGTGTGTGTGTATGTGTGTATATGTGTATGTGTGTCCGACTCTTCCACTGCTATCTCAAGAACCATACATCGGTTTTTGATGAAACTTGGTGCATAGATGCTCTGGGCCAATGCGCAGATTTGATTAGGTTTTGGTAAAAA